GGGGGGGGGGGGACCGCCGCACGGAGCCTCTCACCCGCGTCGCCACCGCTTCCCTTGGCAGCGCCCGCCCCGTGCCAGGAGCGGGGCGCGGGCCGGGCACGGGTCCTTTCCTCTCTTTCAGAGCTTGAGGGAACAAAGCCCTTTCCCCTGAGACACTGCAGATCCAGTTCGCAGGCGACCCCTCTGCCCCACGATAAACAGGGCTGCCTAAATCGCCACGCAGGCCGGCGAGCCACCACCACCGCCTTTCACCCGGGGCGAGGGGCAAAGCCCCTCGGGAAACTGACCTTTCACCTCCCCTCTCTCCTCACCTCAGCTCACCAATTTTGACGCTAGCGAATGAAGCGACGAGGAGATCTGGAAGGCGGGACTTAGCGTCGCTCTCTTCACGCTGATTGGACAGAGACAGCGTTAGGGGCGGACCGCGTGAGCTGACTAGGGATCCTCCCTCCGTGGGAGGGGAGAAGTGAGGACTGCGCTTGCGCGCCGGGAGGTGCCCGAGTGGCCGAGGCGGGTACGCATGCGTGGGGGGCGGAGCTCGGCTCTTTTTACCAATATTACCAGCCGGGCTCTGCCCATCCTTGCCTAGCTGGGGCTGGTGCTTCCGCGCCTCGTCCTGGAGCGTCGCTGCGGGGTGGCCGCTGGGTGTTCGGGTCGCCATGGCTGGTTACGAATACGTGAGCCCGGAGCAACTGGCTGGCTTTGATAAGTACAAGGTAGCGCGGGCCCCGCGGACACCCCGGTTCCTCCTCGCCCTGCCTCTCCAGGCGGCTGAGGAGCTGGCACGGTCCGTGTCACCTTGTGCCGCATGGCCCAGGGCGGGTTGGCGGGCGTTTCTCCGGGGTCCTGCCGAGCTTGGGGCTTTGGGGTCGGGGTGCGTGGGAACACCCTAGGCTCGCCGCCCCGACTCGGCACCCTCCCGGGGATCGCCCTTTCCTTCGGGGACCGCTCGACGACACTAGAGCGAGAGAATTCCCTTCGCTTCTTTCCTTCATCGTTGTTATGTTTTAGCCCCCCCGAGAGGTGATGCAGTTCCCAGCTATGGAGCCTTAGTTGTCTTCATTTTCATGAAGCTTCTCCCCGCATCTCCTCTATGCAACTTCAGAGGCGGAGGTGGTCCTT